AAACTCGTTTCTTCTTTTTCGTTTATTCTCTGCGAATTTAAATATTGATTCAATACACGATTTGCTTATTTACTTATTCGTTTCGTAAAAAAGGCTCGAACAATTTGCCAATTTCATTTTCCACGCGATTGTTTATCTCTATCGTACACGCGCGAGTGTAACAAATGTAAGATATTTGATTCGAAAGAAAATAGCTCGAAGTTAAGGCTGTTGTTGCCTCGCCTCTGATCAAAAAAAAAAAAAAAAAAGCGAAATAAAGCTTCGTTCGAGTATCGAATAATAACATGTTTAACTGAAAACTTGTTGAAAAGAGAATATCGAGTAACCTGGGTGGGACAAAAGAAGCTAAAAAGGCTCGAAGAAGATTTTCACACCAGTGTCTCCCAAATATGTGTGTAAAAGTGTAATATAAAATTTGTTCGTTCAATTCAAAATCAAATTAAGTATAATTTTGTCTACGTTTCCTTTTTCATTTTGAAATAACGTTTGATTGGTGGAACGGCGTAAGAATGGAGTTTTAACTCGAGAAAGGTTGGGAAACACTTAACATCGTGAAGATAAGATTATTAACGAATTTGCTTTTTCTTTTTCTTTTTTTTTTTTACAGGATGAAATTGCAATCTTCCTCCCTCCCACTTAAAATTAAAGATAAAAACGACGACACACGATGGAAAAAATGAGAAGCAGAGTAATCGTGTGAAAATTTAACGAGCAGTCGTTTCTCAGTCACGATTATGATATCGAGAGGATGAAACTCTGTGTCAATATTTCCCACAATTTGCTTTTATTTTCAACGATAATCTCTTCCTTTCGCCAACTTTTCATTTTATTTCGTTACTTCTAAAAACATTCAATCATACGCTAAATGTATTCTATCATTCCACAAGTAATTCGTTTTTGCAAGAAAATTCAATTGCTTGTTTGAATCATTTGTTGATAAGGTTTTGAAACAAAATCAAATCTTCAAATAAGAAAATAATTCCAGCTTTTACGAGAAACAATTGCTATTTGTCTTTTCTTCATTTTGAATATTTAATAATAATATAATAATTAAGTAATGTTCATGTACATATTAAATCCATCATGTTCTTCTAATTCGGTTCATTAAAAGTTCGGTATTTTTTTTTTATAAAATTTTAAATAGCAAAATTTTTGGAAATTTAAATCAAAAAAGTTTTTTAATCTAATATTAACCGTGACGATCACGGTTATTAAAAACCATTTTGTTAAAAGATCGTATATATTGGGAAACACTGGGCATGATTAAATAATCGTTTCCTAATAACAGAGGAAATGTTCTGTTTTCAAGACGAGGACGTGAATTAAACGAAATCACGAAGCATGTGAGAAAAAAAAAAAAAGCAAGACAAACTTGGACAAGAAACGCAGTTTTAGCCTCTAATTGCAAACGAATTACAACAGTTGATGAATTGATACGATATGATACAAGATTATTATTATTATTATTATTATTATTATTATTATTATTATTGTCACAAACATATTCCTTAATACTCTAATATTCTGCGAACAATATTTTCGCTTCGAAATAATATTAATTACTGCTGTCAATGCGACTCCACTAAAGTTATGGACGTGTAAATATGTAAAAATCGTCATTCAAAGTATCGCCTAAAATTTCAATTCGCTACGAATTATTCTAAGTTACATTACAGATTAGAGAAAAATCTACGAAAGGGAAAAAAAATTGATTTAAATGTTGTCATCAAATTTTCATCACGCAAACTATAGATAGATTTTGCATGCAGCATACATGATAAAAAGCGCAATTAAATATAATTACAAGTTTATAAGGGAAAACTACATCGAAAAAAAGTAAAAGTAGCTAGATAGAAGTCCAAGTGATTTGAACGACATACGTCGAATACGATGCAAAAAAAAAAAGCTACAAAGTAACTTAGTCTTATTGCGGTATATGATGATACAGGTGGAAAGAAGGATTGTATCAAATTTTCTAAATATCAAGTAACCATTTCGATAAACATCACGTAACTTGTGACTTCTAATAGAACTGGATAACTAATATTGTCCATTAAATATTATTCATATGTTCGTATCGTTAGAGACAAAAAAATATAGAGTACAACTATGGAGTACATTTTCATTTCATGAAAACACTCGTGTCATTGTTAAAAAAAATTATTCTTCTCTTTGTAACATAAGCATACCGCGAGTAGCTCTTCTTCTTGTAATGCAAATCCCTTTTTAAAATTAATTTTTCCTCAATATCAATTTCCTTCGTATTATTGCATGAAATTTTTGCAATTTAATGCAAAAAAAAGAATGCGTATATTATTGTATAACAAAAGTAAACGGTTTTATCTAGAGATTTCATTAGAGATATCTTAAGAAAAGTAACGCTAACGCTGATAGTGTATTGTTAATCTTCTCTTTTAAATCTTTCTCACAAAGATGTTATGCGCGAAACGCGATCTATTCGTTTCGTTTTTGAAAAATGAAAATACATATATAAGCGTATCGTTAATACGCTTTTGATAAAAGAAAAAAAAAAAAAAAGAAATAAATTACTCACTACGAGTTTCGAAGACAAAAGTATTTGTTTTAATTGTCTTTTGTTAAATTACGTTTCAAAGAATTTCTCAATAAAGTATAGATAAACGATCTATGCTGTTCTCTTTTACTTTGCACTGTGTATATTAATCACTATTGCATGTCACTTCGCTTTTCTGTGAATAAAAAGAATAGGGAAACACGATAACGGGACGTGATTGAACATTACACACAATACGAACAGTAAGAGCGCACACGCGTTACTAACAGTAGTAACAACCGCGTTCCGCGTTTCAACCTCGAATTGCCGGCGACGCCATGATACCTAGTCCGAGTCAGCGAATAGGGGAGAAGGTAGCCCAGAAGAGGGGATAACGTATGAGTCACGCGCAAACGCGCGCCAAATTTGTTTTTGAATACTCGTATGAAATATCGCAACAATAAATAATTTTAAAAAATAATATAAAAGAATGAATGATAATTTTAAAAATAGTATTACTTTATAGCACGTAAGATTATAATAAAATTCGTTATTAAAAATATAATATATATGGTAAAAATAATCAATAACAATATTTATATTTGTAATGAAATGATGTATCTAATTTTGACGAATATTTTTAAAAATATTGTTTAAAGTTTCTTTCAAAAAAGAAAAATACCTTTTTTCTTTTTTATCTCATAGGTAAGCGTGCAAGTAATTTCTATAGTTATTGATTTCAGTATGAATAAGCGAGATATCTTGCTTGCTAAAGGATAGCCTGCACGTCGGGAATGCAGACGTAGTTTTAAATGGATGAGACATTGCTTTATTCCTTACAGAATAACGTCTCTCGTATGTATATCATAAACTCTGACGTATATTCCATAAATGCAGCCATTGAAATAATTCCATTTAATCCATCTATTCTCAGATGAACAATTTTTTTAAAGAAAAACTTTTGATTCAAAAAAAAAAAATATACATCGTGTCATCATATTATTATTTATATTATCTTATCGTATAAAAGAGATAATCTTATCAAGATATGTTTCTTACTTTTTAATTTCACATAGATGTTATATATTGATAATATTAATTTGAAATATATATAGAGAAAGAAGTATTTGACAACAAAAGTTGTCAACATTACTATAAAAATAATTTGCACAATTATACCGGATATAAACTATTAATTCAACACATGCTTAAAAAAAAAGAATCATGCATTTAAAGAGTAGTAAAACAGTAGTAAAACAATAGTAAAACTGTAGTAAAACTAATGATTTAAAATATTTCTAATATATATCTTTTAATGAAATATATTTCTTTCAATACGTTATAATTAGCACAATTATTTCTAAAGTAAAATTCTTTAGAAATTAATTAAAAGAAATTAAAATAAAATTAAAAAAATAGATAATTTAAAAAAAAATTATGCTAATTATGATATAGTTGGAAAGAATAATAAATATTCACAGATTTTTATATATTTTATATATAATCTATAGTGTTACACACAACTTACCTTTACACATCCTAAAATTTAAAACTTTACCAATGACAAAAATACGTGCTGTTTTTTAAATATTTCATAAAAATCTCAATAAATACATTAATCTCAATAAAACTTTTTAGCTTTTTTTTATGAAAGAAATGAATTTCTGCATGAATTAATTTAACGAATTTATATTTTTCTTACTTCGAATATTAAGTAACGAAATATATATAAAAAAAAAAATTAAATTATAGACAAAATTTTCTATAATATCATTAAATTCAATACACAGATAAACACTATATTGAATTAATGATGAAACGCGACATTTCGTTATCCCTATTTATACTGTACAGCAGAATCATCTTAATGTAAATTTTTAACGTATAAGATAACATACGACGAAGCAACGTATAACGTAAATGTATAAAACACAATGAAAAGAAGCATTTTAAAAGCTAAAAAAAGAATTATGCGTTTTTTGAAATACATTAATACCAATGGCGATAGGGACACATTGTACTAGAGACAAAATAATATAAAAATAAAAGAAATAAAGATATGTTAGTATCGTTAAAAATTTTGCCCAAAATATATTTTATTTCCGAATTATTAATTATATCTATCGCAAAATCATGCGACGTTTTGGAATCACGAATATAGTTATAAAGCGGTTAAGAATTTCAAAAAGCGATATAAAATTTTAAATACACACCCTATATCGTTGGCTGGTTGATTATTATTATTGGCTGATCCAGCGTTCACGTTGTTGTTAATCGTGTTGGAATTATTAGTTTGTTGCAGCGTTTGACTCAACAAAGAGGACCATTGCCTCATCACATCTTCACCTTGAGCTTCCAATTCGGAGAGAATGGTAGCATTATCCATATCTTGCAATGCTGTGCCAGTCTCCGCTCTAAAATATATGCGTAAAAAATATACTTAGCATCATTTTGTTTACAATAATTCGAAAAAAAAGATTCAAATTTTCAATTTGATGTTTGTAATTGCAGCAAACCGAGTTGTAAAGTGCATCATTTCATTTGCATTTTGATAAAATTTATATCCGTTTTTAATCACTGTCTCAACATATATATATATATATATCGAAAAGAACAAAGGTCAATCGAAAATATTGATTTTACGATCAGTTGTCAATTTCACACTTGATTTTAAATCAAGCGCACGCTTGTGTTTTTTCAATATTATTAAGAATGACGAACACTTTACAACGTAAAAAAAAAAATTTCAAGATGCAAAGCGTATTCGCAACTACGATATAACACGAACCGTTGTTCTTCGTAGGAGCTTGCATCGCTGTGTTCGTAATCTAATATCAAGTCATCAGAGGCAATAGATTCGCAAGGGGATAAAGTATCGACACTGCCGGCTCGGCTTATTCGTTTGCCATGGTGAGGGCTGTTGGTTGCGTTTTTCCCGTGTCCCGTACCTTGAATATAACAAAAAATAAGAACAATTTGTAAGTATCGTTCTCGCGTCACAATCATTATTTACTTCCGTTAAAATACGTCATACCTGTTTTAGGACTGGACTCGACCAGAGTGTGACTGTTCTCGGTAACGACTTGGCTAGCCATGGCAGACTGCGTCTCGGCACCGGCCCTCGAATTATCATCGAAAACGAGGCCAGGTTGATCAGCGATCTCATCGTCGAAATACTCTCTACCCTCTGACAAACTGAGCGAATTCGAAGCGTTGGTCGGCGTTCCAGGGCTGTCGTCGTCGATCGCTGTCCCAGATTGTTCCATCGCGTTCTCCTTCTTCGGTGTTTTCGTATCGGATTGGGTGATACTGGCCGTAAGGCTGTCGAAAAGGCTGTCGACGGGCGACGTCTCGTCATCTATGAGGGCGGTGGGCGTTGCCGCGGCGGCGGCGAACGCAGGGTCCTCGATGGTGAGGAGCACGGAACGCAACGCGGTTTTGGGAAGGGTCCCCGATTTAACCAGGCTCGAGGACGCGTGCAGGTGTTGAGCGGAACCGGATCGTTGGCACTCGTCGCTCGAGCTCAACGAGTATTCGTCGGCCATGGCCTCCCCGTGGCCGTATTCAGGATCGTCGGAGCTCGGCGGGCTGAAATCCGACTTGATGGAAGGGATTTTCTCGGTATGCGACCTGTCCTTGTAAACCTTCTCCTCCCCCAATCCTTCGTCGTAACCTTCCGAGGACGTGGTCGACATGGAGGTGGTCGACTCGGTGTACCTATTGTCCTTGTTCACGATCCTCTGGTACTGAGTCGCCCTTTCCCTAACCAAACCGGTGCTGGCCGAGGTGAACGTTTTCGGCAATGGTATCACGGATATCTCGGTCACCGTGCTGTCGTCGTCCCTCACGTCCCTCACGTCGAAACTCTTCCCGCTCACCACCATCCTTAAATTCCTAAATCTGCCCCCTCCCCCCCCGTGCCTTCTCAACAACGATCCATCCCCGTAATCCATACCCCTGAAATCGTTCTCCCCGCAACCTTGCTGGCTCCCCACACCCGAATCCTCCGTGCTCGACCCCTCCTTCGAGCTCGTCGAGCTCTTCGACGCAGCGGACACCTTCCTGCTTTGATTCGCCGCGGTTTTCGCGATCTTCGAGTTCGCGTCCGTCATTCTCACCGCGTACTGGGGTAGGGGCAAGTGGCTCGTGTGCAGGGTGTACCTGCCTACGGGCTCCGGTATACCCGACGCCCTTCGATTCCCGTCCACGTGAGCGTTGTTGAACGAGACCACCCCGTTGTTGTTGTTGTTGTTGTTGTTGTTGTGCACGGGCGACGACTTCACCTTCAACGGTTGCGCGGCTTGGCCACCGCCACCCACCACCACCACCCTGTGCGGTTGCTTCACCATGAAACCGGCCTCCTGGTGTTGCTGCTTCTCTTGATTGTAGTGGCTCACGCTGTGGCTGCTGCATATGTCGCCAACCTTGTTCGTGAATTTCGCCTGGGGCTGCCTGTAACCGAACCGATTCGTCCTCACCGCGATCCCGCTCGACTCCTTCTTGGGGGGCGCGAGGCGGGGCGTCGATCGGCCGGACGACGAATTGTGGAGAGCCGAATTCGAGGTGTCCTCCACGTCCCGCCTTCGATTCTGCTCCGGGCCGGCCGACTTCGATCGTTGGTGCACGACGCTCGACTCGGCCGTGTAATTGTTTATCGGCATCGGTATCCCGGAGGCCGGTCTTCGTCGGAAACCGAACGACATCGCCGTGCCGCGCGTGTGCGCGCCGCCACGCTTCGACGCCCCTTTATGCTCGTTCTGTAAAGAAGAGAAGACGAGAGGAGTGAGACAATCCGCGCCAATTTTTCCCATTATAACTCTATTTGAAATTTATCCTTCTCTCTCTCTCTCTCTCTCTCTCT